CAAGGAAGGTTGGGATTGTTTTTGGGGGTGATGGTCCCAACCGTTTAGGAATTAGGGGCCACAAAGGGGCCAAAACAAGCATTTTTTTAGTTTCAGGACAATAACTTGTGTATAAGTATTATGATTGCTCTGAAATTGTACCACAAGGTTCAATACCACAAGCAGAAGGTTGGGATTCATTTTGGGTGTAAGTGTCCAAACCGTTCAGGAATTAGGGGCCAAAAAGGGTCTAAAACAAGCATTTTTCTAGTTTTCAGACAATAACTTGTGTTTAAGTGTATGGATGTCTCTTAATTTGAACCACATTTTACAAAAAGAAAATTTCTTCAAAATTAACTTTTTGAAAAAGGGGGGTGTAAATTTTTTTTTTTTTTTTAGGGGGGCAATTTTTTTTTCCTCAAAAGAAAATTCTCTTCAAATTTTATTTTTTTGAGGGGGGGGGGGGAAACATTTTTAATTGAGGTTCATTTTTTTTTCCCTCAAGAAACAAGAAATTGTCAAAGAAAAAAAATTGGGCTCACAATTTATTTTGCTAATTCTTTGTATATAGTCTGAAAATTGTATTGATTATTGAGTATTGATGTAAGCTCCCTTTAGAATTTTATAAATTTAAGATTTTACGTTTCCAAGTTATGGGTTTTATTCATTAAAATAGGGGGGATTTTCCAGTTTTTGGACAATAACTCAAAAACAATTTCACCAATTTGCAAGAAACTTTGGTGAATTGTTTATTTCTATCGACATGAGCTCCCTTTTGATTTTTTTAAATTTTAGACTATACGTTTCCGATTTATGGGGTTTTATTCAGCATTTTTTATGAAACTTGGGTAAATTGTTTATATCTATTGTTGTAAGCTCCCTTTTGATTTTTATAAATTTAAGATTTTACGTGTCCGAGTTATAAGATTTTATTCATAAAAAAGGGTTGATTTTCAAGTTTGTGGACAATATCCTTAAAGTGCTTAGAGCAGTTTTCATTAAACTTTGATGACTGATTTATATTTATTAAGATAACCTCCCTTTAGTTTTTTTTATAAATTTCTAATATAACATTGAGAAGTTATTGTTTGTTTGTAGTCTGACAACAGATTTACCAAGTATTCCGCAACAGCACAGTGTATTGCACAACAGCAAGAAATCTACAATTGAATATAAATTCAAATCATACAACCAATTTCAAGTTCTTTGACACATTTATTCTGTGTCAGAAACCTATAATGTGTCAAATATTTAATTACAATCCAAATTCAGACCTGTATCAAGCTTGAATATTGTGTCCATTTTTGCCCCAACTGTTCAGGGTTGGACCTCTGCGGTCGAACCAGATGCGCTCGGCGAAGTAGTTTATTACAGTTGAAAGAAATTAGATGCAATTGAGAACTCTCTGATTTCTTAGGTTGAGGCTCCGTATCGCTAAAAAAAAGGCTGTTGAGCTGGAATTTGAATAGTATTCCTTAAGTGTTTGGTTCTGGATATTCTGTACTTGGGGGTACATGAAGGTATGTGTGCACGGTTGTATGTGTCGAGCATCGTGATGTCCGTTCTTTTGAGCTTCTTTTGTTGAGCTTGGTATGTATACTGGTGTTGCATTATAACGCTTGCCTGGATGTTTTGGCGATTGCGGTTTGTAGATAAAGGGTTATCTAGCTGTTGTGTTGCTTGCTTGATATTTGCTATATTCTCCTTTTGAGGCTTTTTGTTATCAGTCGGAACGTTTCCTTCTTGACTCCCGGATTGCCTTTACTATTTCTCCAGGTGTTTGCGGACAGTCATCAAAGAGCTTGATTTTGTCGATTTGTCGATCCATTTCATCTATCACGATGTTTGATAGTTTAGTATGTAGCTTTGTTAGTTTTGCATCGAGTTGCTCTTTCATTTTACAAAAACTATCTTGGTTGCCTGACATTGACTCGTGCGAGTTGGTCATTGTTGGTATTGTTAGGTTGCTTTTAGACTTTATTATTCTCTTGAGCAGTTTAACTGTCTGTTCTAGTTCGAAGTTTCTTGCCTCTATCTGTTGGCATCTTGACTCAATAGTACTCTATCATTTCGCATCTCATTTAATGACTTCTCTTTGATTTTTAATTGTTCTTCCGCTTTTCTTACTTTGAGTTCTCTTGCTCTTAATTCACTCAGTTTAGGTAAGATTGAATCCTCAGAGCTTTGTTGGTTTGATCTTAATTTCCTGGGTTTTGGAGTTGGTTTTGGCTTTGTTGTTGATGTTGCTATCACTGACGTTGGTTTGCGTGATGTTTTTATTGGGCTTTTAACGCAGGTGTTGTTGCGAATACTTGGACTGGCTGTGATTTTGTCATTTTCTTGAGTCTTAAGTTGTAACTCTTCTTGGATCATTATGCAGGGTATGCATATTTATGCTGTGTTTATTTCTGTCATACATTTGATGTGGCACTTGTTATTGCATTGCTCGCATATATCCCATTCTGGATCCATAAGTATATTATCACATACTGTGCAATTCTGCTCTTCTTGAGTTGTGTCGAGTGTCTCGTCTGTGTTGTATCCTTTCTTAGCTTCAGTTTTCTCTGTGAGTAGTAGCTGAGCATTTGTGTGGCTCTGTGTACCCCTTCTAGAGCTAGCAGATTAGATTTTGCAACAACGCAGGGTTTGCATTCGTAATAATCGCCACTATTGGAGTTTTCCGCTCCCTGTATCTCCACCTCCGTTAGTTTTTGGCACTTATAGTGGACCCAGTGGCTTCCTTTGTCGCAGTATGTGCTCCTGGTTTTGCATTTTTTGTTGCATTTAGTGCACGTTTCGTTGCTGTCGTCTACTTCTGGTTTTTCATTCATCTCTCTTCTGTTGGCAGAGTTGTTGTCTTTGTGTAAGAGATTTGCAGTTGGTTGCCAAGTTATCTATTCAGCTCTTCAGTGTTCAGTCCTTCAACTCCTTGCTCACGTAGGCTTTTGAGTACGATGTTATTTATATCTTTGTCCAAAAATTGGTTGGCTCCATTTCCATTAATTAATAGCCGGCTAGTTGTGTTGTATATGTTAATTGTATAGCTAGCTTTATTTGATGACACTTTGACTATATGCTGTACTACTGTTGTTTACGACCTATCTGATATTTCTCTGATGGTTGCTTGGCCTTTGCTGTCTAAAGTTTTCAAAATAGTTTTAAGGTTGCTAGTCTGAGCAATTCAAATGTAACCGCATCTGCCGTTAGTACTATTCCCCTTTTGTGTGTACTTAGATTTCTTTTGGTAGCCTCAAGTTTTTTGTGAAGAGCCTTTGTGGTGTTAAAGTGTAGTGTTGGATACAAGTTTCTTTAATTGCTACTGTTCAATTCTGGTCCGGGATTTATTTGTTGCGACTAGAACAGCCAATGATTATCAGTTTGGTTGTTATCTTTCGGACTGTTGACAAGGTTTATAATTATACTTAAGTGCTTCAGCAGCGTGGCTTGGTCATCCCATGCCTTCTGATCCACACCAAATATATTATATGTTTTTCGTTTAACGCCAACAGTCTGTCCTGATTTGAGAAGAGAATTCAGCGTGCCAAGCTTTGGCTAATATAAGCTTAGGATGTATCACGTCAAGGTAAAGCTGATAGATAATATACTGCTTGCGCGGTTTGTCTTCGCCTCTTTTTACTTTTTTACTTGCTTTCAAGTGTAGGTTAAGAAGTGGTGATCGTACTTTGAGGAAAACGTTCAGTTCTTGAATTTTCAGATTTATTTCTACTATTTGTTCATGTATATTTTCGAATTAGTATTTGAAATTTTTTTAAGTTCTTCGAATATATTGTTAGCTGCATCAGAATGTTGGCTTGCCAAGGATATAGTATGGTCTTTATTTTTTGAGTTTAGGTCGCATGTTCAAAGCCAGATGTATAAATGTATGTTTCCTAATTCTTTTATTTTGTTTTTGATGTTCTCTCCAGCCAGTGTAGGGAGTTTCTGATGTTTGCTCCACCATACAATTTGTGGGTCTTCTGGATGATAGCCCCCTTTACTGTCGGAAAGTACGACGGGTGTCAGTGACTTGTTGCCTACTGTGGACGATCTTGATTTTTGTAAATAGTCTCGTATTTTCTTCTCCGACATTAGCGGATTGTAAAAGAATTCGCCGCGGTTAGGGGATCGGCGGGTGAGTATTTATACTAATATTTATTATTAAATTGTTTACTTTGAAGTTTGTTATGTTTTATATTCAATATGGCGCGAAAAACTTTGTGGGTGGCCTTGCCTGTCAGGCTCGTTGTTATTTGCTGGATAATTTTAATTTGAAAACTGTGTGTAGGTAATTCGAATGTCTTAAGTTAGATAGTGTCAATTGTCTATATTTTCACTACTTATTGGACTTTGGAAGTCCCCTTTCAACACTAAAACTTTGAAATTTTACGAGAGTACCAATAACCAACTTCCACCATTGAACCTCGTTCTCGTATTCGAAAGAAAAACGTCCACTGCAAGATTTCTATACATTGATAAACAACACAGAATCGAGGAGCACGTGAAAAATAAGTGCTTTAATAGAGATATGTCAACTTTTCTATGCATTCACATTTGTTAAACTTTTCCATAAGTTGTTAAATGATTTGGTGCATTTAGTTTGTTCTTTAAGAATGAATTATTACTATATATCTTCCAGATTTGTTTAAATTCTTTCATCATCGTTTTCCCCTCGTGCTTATGCTGGCTAAAGTTTTAACTAGAGATCTCATAGTTAAGGTCACTGCATACAGAAAAATATCGGTGAATAAGAATGCAGGAGCACAATAATTAAATAGCAGTACTTTTCTGAAGATTTTGATAAGATAAAGGATTATCTTTTTACAAGAAAGTCCACATACATTGATTTACAGTAAAACTCAGCCGTTCAAGTATTTAAAACATAGTCAACATGTCTTTTTCAAATTTGAAGTATCAAATGACCCTAAAAAAATTATGAAAAAGTTAACAACAGACAACAGAAGACAAAATGGCAAAGGCAATCTATTGTTTGGCATTCAGGTCACAGAAAACAACTTTTGGTATGTTGTTACATTCTTTAATGTACCAACCAATACATTCATTCTTGTAAACATACATTAGGTATAAATATAACAATATATATAAATTTGTTCATGGAACAAATCCTGTAAAAAAATCCCTGGTAGTTTCATTTCAACTTGACTTTAGTCATGGTAATAATATTTTTTTTTTAGATTGTCCTTTGTATATTTAAATTTGTTGAACACAATTAAAAAAAAATAACATTCATCAACAAAACTGAGCAAACATTTTATGTTTCCACACAACCTATCAGCATGGTTTTATCATAAAATTTCTATGTTAAGAACTTATTGTGAGATATGGTTGTGTTCTATCAGCGATAATTGTTTAGGAAATGACCAGGTTGTGAACTCAAAAATATGTTTACCTAGATAGCCCCATGTTTTATAAACACTTAATAGGCTTAATTTATTGCTTATAATTGGTGCACCAATTCAGAAACTAAGTCAATAAAACAACTATCTTCAACTACCATGTCTATCAAACAATTCATATTATTATTACTAGGTTATTTACCTGTCTTTGTTGCCAATTATTTCATCTGAAATGTGTGTATAATCTGCTAAGCAGAACTGTTGTGCATTTGTCTTACCTTGGACCTACAATCAGCCTGGTACAATCATCACAAAAATATACATCCAGGTCGACCTGGGGCTCACAAATATCTCTTCCTTCAATATTGTAAGATGTGCTCAAAATGCGCTTAAAAGTCCAGATCTTACTTCTCTGTTAAATTAACTTCCAATGTAGTTAATATGAATGTAATTTTAGCTTTCAACATACAATAGCAATCTTATTCCATTAATCCATGAAGTACTACATTGTGTCCATGGGGCCAATTTTAAAATGTTTCAAAGAATTTTACCTTGGGAAAAGTACAGCAGAATCTAACAACTAAATTGCTAACCAACAACGTACAACTAAATTGCATGACAGAAGATGTATAAATTTAACCTATTCCATCCAGTGGTGAAATTGATTGTAGAAATCTCACATATACTAAAATGTTTTTTTTCCTACTTCGATCTCAATCTGAAGATTGATAATTATGGGATGTGCAAGAGGAAATGATACACAAGTTCAATAGAGTGGAATAAATCTTTTGAACTGACAAACAACATGTGAACCAAGGTATATACTGAACACTGTAGACCTGCAGCTAGCACGGTCACTGTTGATCCTGTATACAAGAGATTTTTTACATGGTACTTACCTGTTCTATGTGAATTGTCTCATGGCATGCATCTTACCTGTACCAACATACTTCATCCTAATTAACAGTTTAAGCCAGCTGATGTAATCAATAGTATTGTCATTGTGAAATTTGTTCAATATCTTAAATTTACTTTCACTGTGTGTTGATTGAGCAGTACTCCTCACTACGATATATGTTAATGGGTCTTAAGGAAATTCATTTCAATCAGAATGCATGTCATTACTGTTATTAGGGTGCCCTGATTTTGTGAATGTTTTATAATGTACAACAAAATAATTGAGATAATATACACATTATAAATACATGTTTAAGTCACTCCAAACCGACATAAGAGTATTCATGATTGATTGATAAAATCTCAGTCTGAACTGACGATTATGAGGGAATGGAAATTCTTGGCTCTTGATACATTCGTAATGTTTAAAATCCATTTAAAATAATCACACTTAACAATTCTTGTCCTTCTCATGTAGATCTTTTTCAGTTCTTACTTTCATCATTCACACACAATGAAACATAAAAAACACGCAAAAAAATCAAAAAGTGTACATTCAAATGAAGAATAAATTTTTATGAAAATTTATAAATTAAATGATAAAAATTCTTTCACATCCTTCATATCTTTCTCTCTCTCTCTCTACTCTCTTGCCAATTACTGAACATCACTTTCAATGAACAATCTGCACACAGAATTTCTTTGCATCCTCCATCTGGTCAATCATTTATCACATGGCAGTAACAGCACACAGGATTTCATTGCTAAATTAAAATATAAACTATTTGCCTCCTAAACTAAATGACAGTTTTGGTCTAGCATTTTTCTTATTGAGAATCACTTCTTGTTCAGATCTTTTTCTCTTCTGGTCTTCGTCTTCCATTCGTTGTTTTTGTTCCAACATTTTCCTCTGTTCTTCAACAAGTTTCAATTGTTCTTCGGCCTATTGAAAAAAGTATTTAAAGTATAAATGTATAAAATCAGTCTATATATAGACTCTTTCTTTAATCATTTGGCTAGCCACTATTAAACCATAGTATAAAGTCAAATCACAGTTATCTGAAAAACAAGCTACATGATGTCTTTTATCCTTTTGAGCATTGCTATATAAAGATTTAACAATGCAATTGAAAATTTCTTTGTGAAGCTTTACAAAATTAAATCAAAGCGCCATTTAGTGTAGTTGACTAGAATTACATAGCTATTGTAAATTCACATTTTTAGATTTATTTTATTTTTGTAATTTTCAAACTAATAATAATATGAGAAAAATAAATGAGGAATGTGTCCATGGGACACAGATGATGCCCCTGCTTGCATATAACGTTAAAAAGGGACATAACTCAAGAACTGTAAAAGTGACGCTACCCAAATTTGTACTTGATCTGAGTTTTGTGGTAATAAGCAATATTGTGTTATCATTTCATAACATTTAATTGAGGCAAACTTAATTTAGAGAACGGAAACCAAAAAATTCAGCAATTTTTCCATTTGTAAAGGGGCATAACTCTAGAACAGTAAAAGTGACGCCACCAAAATTCGTTTTGTGGTAATTAGCATTGTGCGTAAGTTTCATAACATTTGGTTGAAAAATTGAATCTGTGTTCTTATTTCTTTGAGTGATTTAACCAGAATAATCAAGTTGATATATTCTGCTGCTCTGCCATGGTTTATTTATTAAACTTGCAAATATGAAAAAATTTTAAAGGAAGAAATTATGAGTCATTAGCAGTGTCAAAGAACACATATCAGGGTATGTCACAAATTAAATGAGAAATCCCTACATTTTTTTAACAATTTATACAATGACTTTGTGTCAGACAATTTGGACCATATATAAACCCTTATGAATGATAACCAAAATGCAAGAATCATGGCACATATTGGTACTTAAAAACATAAGACTGGAAAAAAAAATTGACCAAAGCACAAACTTCTGCAATATATATCACTGTTAAGGACAGCTGTCTATTGATATATTGAGTACAAAACATCTGCCAACATATAATTAAAACTGTGCTTATTAGCCACAGAATCATTAGACACCAACCATTAACTTGGGGGGAGGGAGTGGGAGCATGGATATTTTTGTTAATAAATTGTTTGCTTCCAAAGTTCATGAAAAAAAAAAAAAAAATTCAGAAGGGAAGTGAAAAAAATGGTTTGTTTCTATGTTAAACAATTTAAGGGACAAATAAAAGCAAAATGTGGTTTATAAAATTTCTTGTTCAAATGTTTAATCATGTTAATAAAAGTACCAAATTTTTTGTCTGATGTGAATAGTAATCATTGCCAATTTACTTGTAGGGCCTGTGGTGTTCCATGAAGCACTGCTTGATTTAATAGGTACTACAAACCATAGCTCAGGAAGCAAAAGAAAAATTATCATTTGTATTGTTTACACTTTATACTCTATCTTTATTTCTCTCTATCTGTTTAAGTTTTGAAGATAATAACAAAAAATTTCTAAATAAAAAAAACCATCTGAATGGGTTCCAAGTACCAAAGATGTGCTAGGTACTAGATACAGAGTGAAAGTCAGAACCTGTTTTCATGTGACCATGCTTTACCAAGTGATCTGTTTACAGAAGCATAATTACCCATATATTTAGGAAAGTCCATTATAACATGTATTATCAAAGGGCAAAGAAATTAGTCAAACAAAATGGCAGTATCTGATCACTGTACAACATAACAAAACATCCTACCAAAATATGAAAACTGTCCAAAGACTTAGAGATATAATTTCAAAGTAAACTGATGGCATACCAGAAAAGACCATTAGTTTATCCTACATGTATAACTTACAAGTTTCTTTTGTGCTTCTTCTATTTTTTTATTATTCTCTTCCATAATTTTTTCAAGTTCTTTTCGTTTAAGTCTTTCTTCTTCCTACAAAAACATAAATCAATATGAATTTTTGTGTTAAACACTTGCAGAGCTGTAGTTTTAATGAAAAATCTCTATATAATAAAAAAAAATAATATCAATATTAGCAGATGAAAACCCCTACAGAAAAATATACATGTATGAAGTAGATGATCAACTTAATAAAATTACGATTTTCTATCATGTAATCAATATCCAGATTATCATTTATATAGGAGAAAATTTTCCTTTTGAAAAGCAAATGTCTTACTATATAGTGTATATAAAGCACATAATAGGTGAAATTCTAAACAAACATTTAATACAAAGAACCAAACTTTACTTATGACTCATCAGACAACAATTCATAATATTATACAAAGATTTCACCATGTTTTCCCTTGTTTGGATCATTTGATGGTAAAATTCAACTGAAATAAATATGAATTGATTATATTATGTTAGTTGAAGCAGCATCAAACATTGATATTCTTGGAAAATGTTTGATATTGCCTTCCACACACTTACGTTCTCCATGGGGTTTATTCAGATTCTTCCATTTCTTTTTGCTCTTCACTTTACCAAACATGGTCCCTTACCGTGTGACATCCAAGTTTATCCAAACATCAATCTTATGTACATTTTTTAATGTTTTTACACAAAAAGTACATATTCTTTTTCTTACACAAAAAATTGTCTTTTGTAGTTAAAAAATCTCATTATAAGAGACACTTTTTGATAATACTGTCATCTTTCATTTTCACTAGCAGAATTTTAATCACAGAAAATATTGGCATAGCCAATACCATATTTGAAAGTTGAAAGTTTTCTTTCCAACATACATCAATTGTAAAAGTCTGCTTTCCCTACCAGCAATGGGCTTCCCAAATGGCAAATATTGGTTTAATCAACTATCGATTAGACTTTGGCGAGAACAATTGTATTTATACTATATATTTTAATTGCACAGGAGTTACATGTGGTTTTTACTGTTTATTGCAGGATTCCCTATAAAGGATGTATATCTTAAAGGATATTCCAGAACTAATTGTATGGAGGTCAGAAGGCATTTATATCTTAATTTGATAGATAGTGATCATTTTCATTTGATTTTTATAGAACTATACAAAAAATGTAGCCTGAACAATTATAAGATATAATCAATTTTAAGAATTGCAGAATAAAATAAAAGTGACTTCAGACACTACTTCCCCCTAACATTTATTTCTGAAACAGCCCTCAGAATGACTCTATATGATTTTTTTTCTTTTCATAAAAGGACTTGTATCATTCAGTAAAATAAATTTAATATTAACACTATCTGCAGGATAATACATTTCACAAAAAGGCAGTAATTCACATAATTTGATGCAAACAGACATGTTTTGATTTACTAAACTACAAAAAATGTATCTGTTTATAAGTTTTTTTTGTATTTTTTTATTTAAAGGACTTCAGGATGTACATGTACAGCAAAAACCACATCACAGTGAAAGATGGAAGAAAACATTTCAATACTTGCATATAGTTTTATCCAATATTTTCCTGAATTCTGTAAAAACAAACAGCTTTTACCTAAAACAAACTTCCAAAATGGGATTTCCATATAAATATTTTGTTCCATATTCATGTAATATAATTTTACAAACTTCCTGAAATAAATCATACATGTACACAAATGTCTATCTTCATGCAGTTTTGTTTTGGATTTATTTATAGTGTTCAGATGCCAAGAAATCACCGTCAAATACATTTTTATCTCTCTATTCCAATCACACCTTGTTTCATGCATTTCATATCTACTGACAAGTCCAAAGTCAGAGGTGGAAACTTAAAAGGACTTCTGAAAAATGCATAAAACAAGTTTTTTTTCTTTCTTTTGCAATCATTTCTAATAAATTAATATTAAAAATTACTGAAAATGTAGAAGTTTACAATTGCATTACAGTCAAAAATATCTATCATTTTATAAAAAAACAAGTCAGGAGTTATTTCTAAAGATTTATATACAAATTGTTTTATCAAGTAAACTTTGTACATATATTTAAAAGAACTGCAAAAAAACAATAAACTTGGCATCAGAATTATCACAGATCTTAACATTTCTTCATGGACTTTAATGCAGATTTGTTCATATATATCATGAAAGTGCAGAATTTATTTCTCTTGGGTTCCTACAATGTATGTGTATCAAAAGTGGGCATACAATAGGCATAAACAAAATCTTTGATGTCTGAATATAAATTTCTTGCTAAATAAATTTCATGCATTATAAACATGATAAATATGGTAATAAAAAAAATAATTTCTAAATATGTTTACTTTTTGATAAAAAAAAACCAAAAAAACATGAAAATACTAAAGGCTGTCTATTTTTTCGATACCACATGACTTCAATAACTTAGTTCAAATGTAGATTGATAAAAATATCTTCAACTTGAATTTCATGATTAAATAATGACTAGATAGTCAGATAGTATGTCTAATCTTGTCTCTATCTTTAGTGTTATTTATTGTTTATCCAAGTGATGACACTGATTTTATTTACATGTAGCATAAAGACTGTTACATGAATTGTAAAGCATCAAAATGTCAACAGCTGTTAAATGCAACTATAGGTGAGGAAATGTGATAGAAAGCTTTTATCTGTTTTCTAACTTTTAATGAAATGGAAAAGCTTTAAAGTTTGAACTGGATACTTCAATATAACATACTTTAATACTGTAACAAATATGCAACAAAAACACTAGAAAATATTCAGGGAAAAAACGTATAATCAACAAATCTGCATTTGTTTCTTTTTAGCTTTAAGGACCAAGGCTTGCAGCATATCCTTTACAAATTAATCAAACCGAACCAAAGATAATTCTAACTTTTGTTTGGAAATAGTTTAGTGAAAAATTGTGTATGTTTTAAGCTGTTTTAAAGGTTATGCTGCCCTCCCCCCACAACCAGGGTATATGGCAGCTGAAATAAGCATCCAATCAGGTTTACCCATACCTCCAACTTTCGTTGGTTTTCTATTTCTGTTTCTCTTTGTCGTTCCAATTCCTCCAACATTTGAGCCTCCATTATCCTCTTTGCCTCTTCTACCCTCCTCTTAACCTCAGCCTCAATTTCATCTTTACGTTTTTCTAATTCTTCTTCTACCCTTTTAGAGACCAATTCTTCTACTCTACGAGCTACTTCTTCCTCAATCAATTTTTCTTCAAGTTCTTTTTGTTTCCTAAAACATGTACATTATAATAAGACCCTTACAGAATATGGTAAAACTTGAAAACAAGGGGTTGACACACTAAAACCAACAGTCTTCGAAATTAGCCGGTGGTCCGATGCCCAAAGCCAGTAAAATTGGAATTAGGCTTGTTAAAATTTCAAAACCAGGAGCCTGACGTGCTTGTGTAAAATATGTGACTATTGTGTGATCTTATTTCTTTTCAGTTAAGGGATCACTATGACCTATTGTAGTTTGGCTGTGCGCCACCCTTCAAAATTCCATAGGTTGTAGTTAAATACCGGATACCCGTAATCCAATTATCATATCAGGGGCAATTTAGTAATATAATAAGTGTTAATTGGGTGGAACACTGCCTCAAGGAGTTTACATCGTCAGTTGTCAACTTGATGGCTGTTACTTAAATTGTCTCACATGGGTGAACAAGGTCATGGAGGTGACCATCGGATGGCCAAGTTTCTTCCAGTTGAAAATTAAAAGTTGCAAACTAGTCCATAAATGCAAATGTTAGACTGTACCTAAAATTGAATATCTGTATCCGAATTAAATCAATAAAATCTGTAATGTGGCAAAAAAACCATGATCATATGCAACAATTGTGTGTTTACTTTTTTGAAAGCCATGTACTTTTTGACCGGAAAATAAGGGAAATCCCAATATCAAAGACAACACAATGTATCTGGTTATTTATAGCCAGTAAAGGACTTCAATTTGATAAACAGCTGAGATTGGAGTGCCATTTGATGAATTTATTAATTAATGAATTCTATCTGGGGAAACTGCAAATGCTTGTATATACTCACTTTTAATTACATACATTTTTTTTGGGGGGGGGGGGGGGGGGGGGGGGGGGGGGGGTTGATTTTGAACATTTATGAATGTTACTGTTATGCACAGATTTGAAATGGCTTTGTTATTCTGTAAGATTCTATATGTTTTTTTTAATTCTTTCCTATTTAAATCAAACCTTGTGCTCTTCCATTAGGACACTGATAAAGATTCTAAATTTGTCATGAAATCTGTTAAAAAGTTTTTTTAAAATAAAGATTTTATGATAAAAAAAATGATGAAACTAACTGTAATCTTTGTCTTTCTAATTCCAATTTCTTTTCTTCCTCTTCCCGTCTTTTTGCCCTTAATATCAGCTCATCATCACTGCTTGAACTACTTGATGACAAGGAACGTTTGGTTCTAAAACATAAAACAATTTTCAACTAAAATTTAATCAAATTAATGTTTTATTGGGTAGAGAACAGTAGGTGTTGATATTTCTTTGAATATACAGAGTGTGGGGGAAGCACTACATTTTTAGGTAGAAAGTTCCATTGTGTGATACCAGAGCAACAGGAAAATTAATTATGATTATTTGTAGCAGTCTTCCATTGCCAGCAGGTGTCTGTATGTATATGAATGGATTTGAGAAGTTTTAGTGTCTGTTGGTAATTATAATGATGTATGTACTGCAACAATATGGTGTACAATCCTCATATTTTTAGTCCGTGTTTATGTAACATTTTTGTAGGCCAGTTAGGCAAAAAAAATATATGTGTTTAGGGTTTCCTGACTTACCCTTATTTTGAACGCCGACCCTAAAGTTTTTATGTCGATTTCTTCAAAAATCTTTTGTCAAGATATTACTTTTTGCAACCGCTAATTATATCATCGAAATACTGGACAGAAATGACTCAAGATGAGGTTAAATCACAACTTCGTTCATTGTCAAACTACAGTTTGCACACTTTCTGGTTTGTGTACATGTTAATACTAGAACCAGACTCTGCGAAAAGAAAGTTTTGCTGACCTACTGAACATATTTTTGACACCAGGTGACGGTAATTATGGATATCTTTTTGTTAGCCTAAAGCTACTGGTATCATTATAACGATAAAAGGCATACCTAGCTGCTCCTGAAGTATTCGTTTGACAATCCCAAGAATTTTGCACTGACCTGCATTTGATATGCATTTTTTTCTAGTGTGTAAAAATGGCAAAATATACTAACACCTTATAGTTTCACGTGATAAGGTACACTCAGTTAAACAGTTTAAATCACCTATTGTTTGCAGATATCTATCAGTCTACGTATAACTCTATAGGTTTATTAGAGAAAATATCACATGTGTTATTACAAATACTTTCATGAGTTGTCTACTCTTTATTTCTTAAATTTTCCTAATCTGTAGTAACATATGTTTGTTATTTCAAATGTATTTGTTAAATAAATCATAAATATTTAAATTTTTAGTGGGCACTTGAGAATTCCTGGAACTTTGCACAGTAACTTAATACATAGCCTTGATAACTAATTTTCCTATCAAATTAATACATTTTATCAACCATGGTTAATCAATGAGACAAGGCTTTTAAGGGATACACTAAGCTGTAATAACAAGGCTTAGTTATTACAGGCATGTTGGTTTTCCCTTTTGAATGGTTTTACACTAGTAATTTTGGGGGCCCTTTATAGCTTGCTGTTCGGTGTGAGCCAAGGCTCCGTGTTGAAGACCGTACTTTGACCTATAATGGTTTACTTTTATAAATTTTGACTTGGATGGAGAGTTGTCTCATTGGCACTCATAGTTATGATACCACATCTTCTTATATCTATGAAACTTATTATGAGACACTTGGGAATTACTTGGAAGCTTGTGCAGAACCTCATTACATGCTCTGATCATTATTTCTTACAATAAATTATAATACATTGTGATTAAGCATGATATATGTCTGAGCAAAGGCTTTTAAGGGATACACTAAGCTGTAATAACAAGACTTAGTTATTACAGGCATGTTGGTTTTCCCGTTTGAATGGTTTTACTTAATTAAATGGTCGTTTGGTAAATCTGAATGCAAATATATTTGCTGCAACTCATTTAAAGCCTTCTTCTCTAATGAAAAAGGTAAATATGCTAGATATACTTACTGGAGGTGTGATGAGATGATTGAAGCTGTTAATTTTCTCCTTGATAATATTTATGTACGTTTCGGCAGCAAAGTTTATCAACAGGTTGTAGGTATTCCTATGGGCACTAATTGTACCCCTTTAATAGCAGACTTGTTTTTGTACTGTTATGAATCACAGTTGATGACCAAACTCAGTAAAGACCCGTCTAAATTGCATTTAATTGATAAATTCAACAACACTTACTGTTATCTTGATGATATTTTTTCGTTAAATAATCAAGAATTTTCTCAATATACTGCCGAAATTTACCCAAAGGAACTTACTTTAAATAAATCAAATTTAAACGGTAACAACCGTCCTTACCTAGATTTATATATTTCGGTTTTACACTGGAAACTCCACACTAAAATTTACCACAAACAGGGCGATTTTTCGTTCCCTATTGTTATTTTCCCTTTTAGGATGGTGATGTTCCTTTGGCACCATCACACAGGGTTTATATTTCACAACTAGTTCGCTATGCCCGTGTCTGTTGTGACGTTTTTTATTTTAAAGAGCGTAATCTATGTATTACTGGTAAATTATATATTAAGCCAGGGATTTCGTTACCACAAATTACTTAAAACCTTTACTAAATTCTTCCACAGATATAAAGATTTGGTTTTGAAGTTTGGTTGTACCTGTAGAAAACTTATTTCAAACGGGATTGCACATCCTCATTTTTATGGCAATATTGTTTACCGTGCCCGGAAATTTAGAAACAATCCTGGTAAACTTATCGATCCTTAAGGTAGATAGGGTGTCTTCCTCCATCTTGGATTTTGAAATACCAGAAAATAATTGGTCTAGATCTTTAAGAAAATGTCCAAAATTTTGAGAGAAGTAGGTAATTCATGTGTAAGAATTTTCATTTCGATATAGAAAATGACATGTTTTATCATATTTATGGTTGTATTTTACAAAAAACAGAATACTTTTTGTTTGATTCTATTTTTTCCAACTTTGTCATATAAGGGGAGGCAACTCAAATGTAAGGGCAGATAATTCAGATAAAGTTACTTTTACAATAGAATGTGTTAGGAATTTACCTATTTTCTTATGTAGCAAGAAAACGGGTCCCGTGACCTCATTTTTTCTTTTTCTTATCTGAAAGCATAATATTAGAGCTATCTTCTCATATTTTATCTCAAAATTCTATGGTGCAGTTTTCGTTTTATGGCAGAAAATTGGGTTTTCCATGCATAATCTATACAAAATCTGTCAATTTTGCACAACCTGTAGCGTGAGAATAAGCCCCGTGACCCATTCTTTTTATTATTTTTTTTAAAAAAGCATGATATAAACTACATTTTGGCAAATTATTAAAAAATTCTATGGATTATAATTTAGACACCCCATCTACCTTAAAATAAACTTATGCTAAAAGGTTACCAATTCAACATTGTAATTAGATCATTAAATATTGTTTTTATTGGTACTAATATTGATTTTGTTATTAGTAAATTAAAAACAAACTAAATATTATTGTTATATACATATACACATTCATGGATCTACAATCTGTCGATACCTGTATCTTGGCATTGCACAAGGTCATATTTTTCTCTTGACTGTTCATGACGTCTTTACACTAAATCCATTGGATGTTGGATGTGTACAGATTGATAATTTAGTCTTAAATGCATGATTTTTTTTATTAGTAATTAGTGGCTTTGAACTAGCTGTCAGTAACTGCGAGTACTCTCAGATCTGTACTTAGTGTCTTTTTGTTGTTTGGATGTACAAGTACCCAGCCACGTCCACTTGTATTTGTAGTATTTGTATTTTGATCCATCTGATGAGTTAAGCCTCTTTCAACTGATTTTTATAGTTCGTTCTTATGTTGTACTGTTACACCACTGTCCCAGGTTAGGGGGAGGGTTGGGATCCCGCTTACATGTTTAACCCCGCCACATTCTGTATGTTTGTGCCTGTCCCAAGTCAGGAGCCTGTAATTCAGTGGTTGTCGTTTGTTTGTGTGTTACATATTTGTTATTCGTTCATTTTTTGTTCATAAATTAGGCAGTTAGTTTTCTCGTTTGAATTGTTTTACATTGTCATTTAGGGGCCTTTTATAGCTGACTGTGTGGTATGGGCTTTGCTCATTGTTGAAGGCCGTACGGTGACCTATAATTTTTAGTTTCTGTGTCATTTGGTCTCTTGTGGAGAGTTGTCTCATTGGCAATCATACCACATCTTTTTTTTTATATTTGAAGTGATGTAGAGAAGCTGTAATAACAGCCTTTGGCTATTACAGGCATATTTTTTCTGTTATTACATATAGGTGTACTATGCATGATTGGCAAACTATCAACTATTATATCTTTCTAAAGTTTAGTATATATAAAGACAATAATAATACCAATAGAACTTGTATACATTTTAACAAAACAAGGATGTATATTGCCCTTTGAAACATGTAACATACATATGTTATCACAGTTTTTGGATTTTTTAGTCTACAATAACAAATGATGAAATGTACATTATTTTTTTTTAATAACCCTAAAAAGTTATACCCTTGACTATCTATTGTCCATGTCAATTAATATATTTCAGTCAGAGCTCAGACATAAATAAGTCTAAATCTGCTTTTGACTCATAGAGGTCTAAATTTGTAGGTTTCAAGATTTGACTCCCTTTAATTTGAGACAAATTATGACTTCAATGAGTCAATTAGTGTTAAGCAAGAAATATTTGACCTGAATTAAAAAGTTGCAAATATTGACTCCTACAAGTCGATAGGTTACCAAAATTGGTCAACTTCAAGACCCAAGCATATTTATAAAAAGGTCAAGCATCTACATGAAATTATGACAACATTGAAAGACAATGCTTTGTCTTCTAAAGAAAATTAAAATAATATATTAATTAAATATAGATACATGTAGCTCAGGTCCTTGTGAACTCTCAGACAGGTTTATGATGTTATAGGTGGTGCACTTTGGCCACCAATTAAAATTAAGTCTTTTCATAAACATAAATTAAAAGACCTAAACAAGCCTGTCATTTTCTGACTTAAATAAGTCTGAAAATGATAATAAATACATTTTTTGACTTCTGTAAGTCAAAAACAAACAAGCATTCTGAGAGTATTGCATGGCAATACATAGTCCCCTACGGGGTAAAAATTCATTATACTGGAACAAAAAGCTAACTTGTTCTATATAACTTGTCATGGTGTAAACAAAAAGAAAATATCAAGTCAATATCTTCAAGCATGACTAAAAGTAGTTTGGAAAATTGA